TATTTAGAATCACGTAGAACATTGTGGTTGTGCAATGCCTGTCACATAATCAGAGCGTCGGTAGACGCTCTATGTAGGGATGACACGAGTGAAATCTCACGTGATCCGCATACAAAACGCCTCGAAACTCAGCGAGAATGGCTAGCTATGCCTTCAAAACACACCACAAATCACTCACGGGTCCATATCTACCTATACATATGCCCAAAAGTTTCATACGTCCCTGCAATTCTCGACACGAGAATCCGCTCATACGCGATTTCTGATTTTCGTGTCATCATAATATTCTTCATCTTCTTCTTCTTTAAACCCGCTATCTCCTTACCAGTACCAGTTGAAGCGCTGATTTTTTCACTGAACGTCTCCAATTTCGCCGGAGGTGTGCACGGACATCAAGCGATCATTTCTTTCTTGCCGCAAGTCACTACGGTAGATCATGGAGCTCTTCCATGGTCAACACTGAACAACGCCATTTGCTGCTAACTCAGCATCAGTGAGCCGTGCGCATGCGCCAGACAGGGGCGCGGCGTTAGAGCGGACCACGTGGTCCCCGTCGTGCGGCCGCTGGTTTTTCACTCGCCTGGGTTTGCTCCCGAATTTCGGCCTAGCTATCCGTCTTTTGGTAAGGAGCTACTGTTGTGTGTACTTTAGCTAGCTGCAATCCAGCTCATTGCCAATTTTCTTTCGAGGTTCCACGGGACGGCCACAACCTGACGTTGTCACCTTCACGTGACACTCCGTGTCTGTCTTGTCCGCACTGCTGACTATTGTGCTGGAGTCGCCACGGTCAAAAGTAAGTCTTGCTATTGCAATTATCATCACGTATAATTTACTCCAAGGTCTGTACTCTACTGCAGCTTGGGTTTCTGGAGTTTGGGCCACAGTTAATTATGTTTCAAGGTAACCCCTGCAAGTTGTCTGCATTCCCTCATTGCCTATTTTAATAGGGGTGCCTGACGACTCTCCTTCCAGTTCAACCTTCTGCACCCCCTCGGCCTCTAGCCAGCACTTCTCTGCTGACAGTCGTGGCTGATAACAAGAACCC